CTCAACTTGTCCAAACAACATTCCTGTCTGTATTGATTGTATTACCGATATTCACAATGGTCATAGTTTAAAAAAATTAAATGATATAAATTTAAGAAATCAAATACAACAAGAATTAAAAAATAAAACAATACCAAAACTAAACAAATGTTTAGAACTTAATAAATTAATATTGGATAAATCAAACAATCATTTTAAACAAATTCAAGATAACAATAAAAATTTTTTTGATAAAACATTTGAAATATTTAAGGAATTAAAATATATTATCAATGCAAAAGAAAATGATATCAAAAGATTATTAACAACTAAATTAGATGAAAATAAAGAAGTAAATACTATAATAACAACAACAATAGAAAACAATAATAATAAAATTAATAAAGCTATTAAATATAATAATGATGTTAATTATAATAATGATAATAATATTAATAATTATGAATTTATTGAACTTTTAAAACACAATCATCAATGTAACAATCTTTTATCAAGTATCAATGATAATAACTTACCACAATATAAAGATACCCAAATAATTGTTATAGAAAATAATCTCGACTCAATCAAAGATCTAACAAACAGTTATTTAGAAGTGGTTGATATTTTTTCTTTAAAAGATTTAGAAACTCTAAAATGTGCATTTATCGGCCCAACCAAAGATCTAGAAAATAAATATTTAGAAGTACTTGATGATGGTATTCCTTTAGTTAAAAAAGATTTAAATGTAAGTTTTAACATTAAATTTTTTATTTTTATTAAATTTTATTCTAATAATACTTAAATTAATTAAGTTTTTGGTTCTGAATATACAATTTACCAAGATGGGTGTGATATTAGTCATATGGATATTAGATACCTTGCAATTGGGCCAATTAAATGCTTACTCAAAACCATTCCATCAACAGTTAAAAATTTATTATTACTAGATGGCTTTAATCAACCACTTAATTTTATACCATCCACCGTAGATTTTTTGTATTTATATAACATTAAGTATCAATTAATACCTGGTTCAATTCCTGAAACATTTTCACAGTTATCTTTACTTGATGATTTTGATCAACCACTTAATTTTATACCATACAGGGTAAAACAATTAAATTTACATAACATCAAGTATCAATTAATACCTGGTTCAATTCCAAATCATTTAACAACTCTTACATTTGATAATGGTTTCTCTCAACGTTTTACAAAAGGTATTATCCCTGACTCTATACCTTGTATTAATATAGGTGATGTGGTCTTTCCTTTAGAACCTGGCTCCATTTCAAACCCCAAACAAACAATTGAATATCTCCCCAACTACAAACATCCAAAATAAAAATTTAAAATTAAATAAAATATAATAAAATAAAAAACAAATTTCGGTTATCTTGTAAAAAATAAATATCTTAAATTCTGTTACCCAAATATAAATTAGTTGTCAATATCAACACACATTACCAGATTCTTTATCTTGAAACAGAAATTTAAAAATACCATCAATAAAATAAAATAAATGTTATAAAATAAAAAGAAGTAAATAAATATATAATTTCGGTTTACTTGACATAAAGCTCAAAGAAATAAAAGAACAAGTTTATTGTTAAATAAATGGCTTCATAAAATAAAAAATAAAAAAAAAAAAATTAAAAAATTAAAAAAATTTTTAATTTTGAAAATTAATAAAAATAAATTAAAATTTTTTTCACCCACTTTTTTTTTACACCAAATTTAATACACAAATCAATAAAATGATAAAATAATATTATTTGAAATATAACAATATACTAATGTAATATTTAATATTTTCATATATTGTTATTTTCTTTATCATTACTATTCATCTAAATGGTATTTTCAGGTTTAGCAGCATAAGCAAAACAATTATTTATAAAATATGGTGCCATACAATATAGATTTTCATAAAAATTACTGAATTTAAATATTCCCAGCTAGATTTCACCTTTACCAGATTTCTATAAAAATACAAAAATTCGGTTGTTTCAATTTTTGTTTTATTTAATTTTTTTTAATTTTTTTTTTTTAATTTTTATAATTTTTGAATTAAAATAAATTTTGGTTTATTGCAGCTTATTTAGTTTCAAAAATAAAAGGATATTTAAATAGTATCCTTTTTTTATTTTTAAGAAAAAAAAAAAGAAAACTAATAATGTTTTTAGAACTAAAAGTAATTTATTTAGGAGTAATTATAGTTGTATGCTTTGTTGGTGGAATTTCACCAATTATATTGGGAAAGTTTTGTAATTCATCTAAAAATATTGTTAGTTTTTCAAGTTGTTTGGGTGGTGGTATATTATTGGGTGCATCACTATTGCATTTACTAAATGATAGTGAGGAGTTTTTAAAAGGGGAGTATCCATTTAGTCATTTAATATATGCATTGGTAAGTATCAAACTATATAAAATATACTAAAGAAAACTATTAATTATTTTTTATTAGGGCTTTTTTGCATCCTTTATTTTAGAAAGAGTATTGTTTGAACATTCTCATGACCACAAGGTGCCAACATTATCAATAAATATTTCAAATGACGAACATATAAATGAAGATATTAAAGGTTTATTAACAGATGATTACGAAGAAACTGAATTAGAGTTTGATGAAGGTCATGAAACCATAAGTTCTCAAAATCTAGGTCATGGTCATGGTCACAGTCACGTTCATAGCCAGAACCATGGTAACAATAAAAAATCAAGTGGAAAGTTTCCATATATGCTATTTGTTGTATTAAGTTTAGAAAGCTTAATCTCTGGTATGGCATTAACATTAGAAGAAGACAAAATTTTAATTTCAGTTACATTTATTGCAATTATTACTCATATATGGGCCGAATCATTCGCTTTGAGTGCTAATGTTATGAAGTCATTATTAAAATTAAGGGATAATCGTTATATTTCAAAAACAATTTTCAAATCATCTCTTATATTTTCATTAGTAACACCACTTGGAGGCTTATTTGGTTTGGTCGCAGTGTATGTTTTAAAGCAATCTCAAATTGATTATATTTCAGGTGTTCTTCTAGCTTTTGCGGGTGGTTGTTTCTTATATGTAGGTATTTTCGAAATTATGGTCGAGGAGTTTTTAAGTCATTCCCACTCCCACACCAACGAAGGATCAAAGTCGGGGGTAATAATGAAAATTAAAAAGTTATCATTACTATTAGCTGGTTTTACATTTATGGCAGTTCTTGCAAAAATTGTTTAAAAGAAAAAAATAAAATAAAGAATTAAAATTGTAATATATTATTTAAAGTGCATTTCAATATAATTTTAATCTCTCTATTTTTTTATTTTATTTAAGTTTATTAAAATTATTAATTTTAAACTCAAGCAAATATGATAACTTGGATTGATTTGAATTATAAATGACATATTCATTGTGTTTGAAATCAGATGAAAAATATTGGATGATACAAACAATCATTTTAAACAAATTCAAGAAAACAAGACAAATAAGATTAATAACAACTAAATTCAAGCATGATGTGGTCTATCCTTTAAAACCTACCCCATTTTAAACACCAATCAAAAAATTTCATATAAATGTAATATATAAATGTAATATATAAATGTATTAAAAATACAAAAATCCAAAAATCCAAATTTAAAGTTAAATTAAATAAAATTAAATTAAATTAAATAAAATAAAATAAAATAAAATAAAAAAATAACTTCACAGGATCAACAGATTAAGTTAATTATTAAATTAAGTCACTTGAGTTTCAATTTGTGTGTTAAAAAAAAAATTTAAATAAAATTTTATTAAATTGTTTTTTTAATTTTTTTAATAAAAATTTTTTAATTAGATCGCATCTCCGTTTAAATTTTTATAAAAAATTTATTATTGTTATAAAAAAAATTTAAAAATAAATAAATAATAAATAACTGTTGTAAAAAAAAAAGAATTCAAATTATAAATAAATGATGTCAAATAATCAACAATATGATACCAAATGCTTAGATCATCCCCACCAAGATATTGTTTTAATATGCTCAACTTGTCCAAACAACATTCCTGTATGTATTGGTTGTATTTCTGGTATTCATAATGGTCATAAATTTAAAGACATTAAAGATAAGAATATTAAAGATCAAATACAACAAGAATTTACAAATCAAACAATACCAAATCTAAACAACTTTTTAGAATATAATAAATTAATATTGGATGAATCAAACAATCATTTTAAACAAATTCAACATAACCATACAAAGAATTTTGATAAAGTTTTTAAAATATTTAAGGAGTTAAAAGATATTATCAATACAAAAGAAAATGATATCAAAAGATTATTAATAACTAAATTAGATGAAAATAAAGATATAAATAATATAATAACAACAACAATAGAAGACAATATTAATAAAATTAATAAAGTTATTAAATATAATAATAATCATTTTAATAATAATAATGATAATAAAAATGATAATAATATTAATAATAATGATTTTATTGAACTTTTAAAAAACAATTATCAATCTAACAATATTTTATCAAAAATCTATAATAATAATTTACCAGAATATAAAGATACTCAATTAATAATTAGAGATAATAACATCGACTCAATCAAAGATCTAACAAACAGTTATTTAGAAATTCTTGATGATATTCCTTTTTTTAGAAAAGATTTAAAAAGAATTAAATGTAAGTTTTAATATTAAATTTTTTGTTTTTATTTTATAATAATTTTTAAATTAATTCCTTTAAAAAAGCTGTTGATTTTAAATTTACAATTTACAGTGACGGGTTTGATATTAGTCATATAAAAACTAGAAACCTTGCAATTGGACCTATCCAATGCTTTCCCAAAACTATTCCAACAACAGTTACACATTTATCTTTACTAGATGGCTTTAATCAACCACTTGATTTTATACCACACACCGTACAAGCATTGTATTTACATAACATCAAGTATCAATTAACACATGGTTCAGTTCCATCAACAGTTAGAAGTTTATCTTTACATGATGGCTTTGATCAACCACTTAAATTTATTCCTCCCAGCGTATACGAATTGTTTTTAGGTAACATCAAATATCAACTAAAACCTGGTTCAATTCCAGCAACAGTTGCCAATTTAATTTTATTAGATGGCTTTAATCAATCACTTAATTTTATACCAGACACAGTAAAAAGGTTGTCTTTACATAACATCAAGTATCAATTAATACCTGGTTCAATTCCAAACCATTTAATTGATCTTAGATTTGAAAATGGTTTCTCTCAACGTTTTACTAAAGGAATTATCCCTGCCTTCACTACTGTATATTTAGGTGATGTGGTCTATCCTTTAGAACCCCACTCTATTTCAAACCCTGATCAAAAAATTATATATTCTTTCCACTACAAACATCCATATCTTAATTTTAAAATAAATGTAATATAATAAAATAAAAAACAAATTTCAGTTATCTTGTTAAATATAAATATCTTAAATACTGTCACTCAATCTGTTACCTAAATAAAACTTGACCATTCTTTAATCTTTTACTGTTAACTCAACATTTGAAATGTAAGCCAAATACTTATAAATCATTTTTCTCAATTTGGAGAAATGTATATTTATTAAAGAAATATACTTTAAAGATCTATATTAGTTTGATTATAATAAATCGTTTTAGTGGATGAAGGAAACATATTTGGTACAAGTCACTAGAATAAAATTTGGTTTTGGTTATCTTCAACCTGCTACCTTTACAATTTGTCACTCTATTACCTAAAAATAAATCAATTTCAGAATCGATCATATACAACAGATTAAAAATTATAAAATTCTAAGATTAACCTCAATGTTGAAAATAAAAATTAAAATAAAAATTGGTTTATCTATAATTAATTATAGTAAATAGTTATTTATTAAATTAAGTCACTTAAATTTCAATTTGTGTGTTAAAAAAAATTTTAAAAAAATTTTAATTTTTTTTAATTTTTTTATAAAAAAAAATTATTTATTAAATCTCATCTCTGTGTAAATTTTTTATAAAAAATTTATTATTGTTTTAAAAAAATTTTAATAAATAAATAATAAATAACTATTGTAAAAATTAAATTATAAAATAAATGATGTCAAATAATCAACAATATGATACCAAATGCTTAGATCATCCCCACCAAGATATTGTTTTAATATGCTCAACTTGTCCAAACAACACTCCTGTATGTACTAGTTGTATTATTGGTATTCACAATGGTCATACATATAAAAACTTTGAAGATAAGAATATTAGAGATCAAATACAACAAGAATTTACAAATCAAACAATACCAAATCTAAACAACTTTTTAGAATATAATAAATTAATATTGGATGAATCAAACAATCATTTTAAACAAATTCAACATAACCATACAAATAATTTTGATAAAGTTTTTAAAATATTTAAGGAGTTAAAAGATATTATCAATACAAAAGAAAATGATATCAAAAGATTATTAATAACTAAATTAGATGAAAATAAAGATAAAAATAATATAATAACAACAACAATAGAAGACAATATTAATAAAATTAATAAAGCTATTAAATATAATAATGTTAATAATAATAATGATAGTAATATTAATAATAATGATTTTATTGAACTTTTAAAACACAATTATCAATGTATAAATCTTATATTAAATATCAATAAAAATTACTTACCAGAATATAATGATACTCACATAATAATTAAAGAAAATAATAATATTGACTCAATCAGATATCTAACAAACAGTTATTTAGAAATGGTTGATGATATTCCCTTGGTGAAAAAAGATTTAAAAACTCTAGAATGTAAGTTTTAACATTAAATTTTTTATTTTAATTTTATACTACTAATATTTAAATTAACTCCTTTAATAAAGTTTTAAATTTAGAATTTTCAATTTATGAGGACGGGTGTGATATCAGTCATATAAAAACTAGAAACCTTGCAATTGGACCTATCATACGTTTACCCAAAACTATTCTAATAATTAAACATTTATTATTACTAGATGGTTTTTATCAACCACTAAATTTTATACCACCCACCGTACAATACCTGTATTTAGGAAACATCAAATATCAATTAACACCCGATTCAATTCCAGCAACAGTTACACATTTATTTTTACAAAATGGCTTTAATCAACCACTTAATTTTATACCACCCACCGTAAAATATTTGTATTTACATAACATCAAGTATCAATTAAAACCTGGCTCAATTCCTGCAACAGTTACAGATTTAATTTTACATGATGGTTTTAATCAACCACTTAATTTTATACCGCCCACCCTAAAATTATTGCTTTTAAAAAACATTAAATATCAATTAATACCTGGTTCAATTCCTAATCATTTAACTTCTCTTACATTTGACAATGGTTTCTCTCAACGTTTTACAAAAGGTATTATCCCTGACTCTATACCTTATATTTATATAGGTGATGTGGTCTATCCTTTAGAACCTGACTCCATTTTAAACCCCGATCAAAGAATTGAGTATCTCCCCAACTACAAACATAAAAAAATAATAAAAAAATGGTTTATGTAATTAATTTTTGTTATAACCCTTTATTAATTACAACTTCATTAAAATAATTTCTCATTATAACACCATGATATTTTTTCTTTAAATTTAATTTTTTTTTACTTTAGTTTTTTTATCTTAAACATTTAGAAAGGAATGTTTAGAAAAGGAACATTTAGAAAAAGAATGTTTCGTAAAAAAAATGAAAAATGTAAGTGTTTTTTGTTTTTGCCAAATGGAGGCCAATGAAATTTCAAGAATAAGATGTGTTTATAATTTTGTTTAGAATGCAAAAATGGTTAGAAGAAAAAAATACATGTCAGAGGAGAATTTTATAAAGATACTTTACTTTATACAGAACTCGAACAACTCAAAGAAAACCTCGAAAAGAAGAAAATATTTCAGAGAATTTAAACTCGAAAGAAATATAAAGTGCTCAAAGTTAAAGAAAATTCTAAACATTCAGGTATCAAATATTAATAAGGAAACTACTTAATTTTTAAAATTTATTTAGTTTTTATATTTTTTAATTTTTCAAAATCAACTGGATTTCAAGTCACTAATTTAAAAATAAATATTCCAATAAATAATCTTCAAACATTCAGGGTTATGGTTTAATTGCCGCCACAATAAAAAATCAAGTGGAAAGTTTACATATGCTCTTTGTTGTATTAAGTTTAGAATGCTTAATATCTGGTATGGCATTAATATTAGAAGAAGACAAAATTTTAATTTCAGTTAAATTTATTGTATTTATAATTCATATCTGGGCCGAGATTTGCTTTGAGTACTAATGTAATAAAGCCATTATTAAAATCAAGGGATAATCGTTATATTTCAAAAACAATTTTCAAATCATCTCTTATATTTTCATAATAATACCACTTAAAGGTTTATATGGTTTGGTCGCAGTGTATGTTTTAGAGCAATCTCAAATCGATTATATTTCAGGTCTTCTTTTAGCTTTTGCGGGTGGTTATTTCTTATTAGTAGGTTTTTTCGAAATTATGGTCGAGGAGTTTTCAAGTCATTCCCACACCAACGAAGGACCAAAGTCGGGGGTAATAATGAAAATTAAAAAGTTATCATTACTATTAGCTGGTTTTACATTTATGGCAGTTCTTGCAAAATTTGTTTAAAAGAAAAAAATAAAATAAAGAATTAAAATTGTAATATATTATTTAAAGTGCATTTCAATATAATTTTAATCTCTTTTTTTATTTTTTTTATTATTTAAGTTTATTAAAATTATTAATTTTAAACTCAAGCAAATATGATAACTTGGATTGATTTGAATTATAAATGACATGTTCATTGTGTTTGAAATCAGATGATTTAATACCTTTGCAGCTGTCATAACCTTTTGGTGGGCTGGTTAATTCTGGTTGAAGATTTGTGTATTCTTTGACGTTACCCAATGCGACATATGAAACAATAATTAACGAAGTACCAGTTGAAGTACCTGGAATGAATTTAAGTGATGAAATAATATCCTCACTGAAATATATGCCTTTACCCAAATAGCCAAAATCTGATCTTTTACCACCGCTTGATGTTATAATATCTGGTAATAATAAACCTTTTGAAAGAATACCAACTATATTACTTGGATTGGTACCATGAAAGAGATATTGGCAATTGCCAATAGATTCGTTAAAGTTTTTATTTTCCTTTTCTTTTTCTAATCTAAAGACATTGACAATTTCAATAAAGTCTTCATTTCTTGTGTGGATCTCTTTTTCTCTAAAGATATGCATAAACAGTTTATATTCCGAGCTAGCTGGATGGAGATAACGAATATCGGTATTTAATGAATAATACTTCATATCCAAATGGTTATTTGATTGATATTCAGTTTTTTTGCTATTGAATGAAATTGTAAGGTCTTTCATCATCTCTAGAAGCTCATAGTGTTGAATTAATGACTGCATATTGTTTATAACAGAGTCTTTTAAACCTCTATCTTTTTTGGTTGAAATCTTTGATGGAACATTTTGAAAGAATTTGGATGAAAGAATTTCTAAATTGTCTTGTTTGAAGTTTGAAATTAAACTTGAATTTAAAAGACTACTATCGCTGCTATTACTCTTTACCAGTTCCTTGTTAATTTCTTTTAAAATACTTTGTGCAACATTGATTTGATCCAATGAAAGGGTACCAAGTTGAGTTTCAATACCATTTTGACCAATTTCGACTGAGAAGTTTTTAATTAAACACTTTGAAGTTTCTTTAAAAATCAATTGTATTAATGAGCAAACATTTCTATCAATATAGGAGCCTTGAAAGATATCAATATCCTTAATCTCTTCACCGGTCTCTTCGTTATATACTTTTTGTTTAAAACTACCATTTTCATTAGATAATGACGAGGATGCAGCAATCATTTCGAGTCTCTTTTTAGAACCTATTTTAATGTTGTCCATCGATACTTCTTTATAATCACTACCAGGTTCAATTTTTTGACTATAGATTGATGAATAAATGTTCATAGCGTCGCTTAAACTATCTGTATAACGATGTTGAGAGTTGGATTTTTGAATTTCATCGATACGACCAAATTGAGTATAAATTCTATAGTATTGCTTTAGATTATTATCAGTTGCTTGATTAAGTTCTAAATAAAAGAATTTATTAACATTTTGCTTATTACTGATGTATGTATTCTAAATTTAAGGTTTTGTTAATAAAAATGTTTTTTAAAATTTTGATAATCTTTAGTTATTATTGACTAATATTTACAGTTAATAAGTTAAATTTTAAAACTAAATAGTCTTCAGGGAAAAATGGTTGTTTCTCTTTTGGATTATAACACTGAGATGGAATATATTTGGGATTATTTATAATTTGTAATGGGTCATCTTCAATTTTTTTTGGTAATGATGATTTATTAAAATCGTAAGTTTGGTTTTCATCTACAATATTGGTTGAACCATTGCTATTATTTTCTAAAAGGTCAAAAGATTGAATTAAAGCTTTAGCATTTTGATTTTGTTGGGTTAAAAAATAGTTTTCTGATAATAATTTAATATTTGATTTATTAATTGAACTGTTAATTGTGTTTTTAAAATCTGGATTTAGTGTGACAATATAGTCGACTTTTTGATTAATGGTATATGAAATGGATCCACCATAATCTTTAATGATTTTTGTAATACTGTAATTTGAAATTTTGGTAAATTTACTCTTTGGATCTATATAAATATTTAAATTATTTAATGGTTTAGAATCACACATTTTTTTTAAAAAAAACAAATAAAAGTATATTGTTTATAAAGATAAAGAAACAATAATGATTTTGATAAAAGAGTGGTAAATTTTTTTTTTTTTTTTTTTTTTTTTTTTTTTTGAGAATTTTAGTATAAAAATTATTTATAAATTATGGGTTAACAAAAACAAAGATATGAAAATCTATAGAATAAAGTTTCATACTTATTCCATTATTGGTAATCTAGATTATTATTTACTTTTATTTGGGTGATTAAATTTAAAATAAAATAAACCTTGATGATTATAAAATTTTTTATCTGTTTGGAATTTAGATAATTATATGTTTACTAAGCTATACATTTTAGATTTAAATATAAATAATATGTATTAAATATAATATATTATATGTATATTTATATTATTATTATTTTATTAATTCAATTTGTTATTATAATAAAAAAAACCCACTTGAAAATGGTTTTAAAATAAAAATTAAAAAATAAAAATATTTTTTTTTCATTTTTTAAATTTTTTTATTTTTTTTAAATTTTTTTTTTTTTATATTTATATCTATTTATTATATTTAAAAAGGAATGTCCAAATTTGGTGGAGCTCCAAAGTGCAAAGTTTGCAACAAGAGTGTCTATGCTGCTGAAAAAGTAAATTATAGTAATGAGATCAGTATTTTTTAAAAAAGTATTAACTTTTTTTTTCTTATTTCAGGCACCAGCTGGTGATTATCACAAAGCCTGTTGTGTTTGCAGTGTATGTAAAAAATCAGTAGATTCAACTACATTATGTGAAAATGGTGGAAATTTATATTGTAAAGCTTGCTATGGCAAAAACTTTGGTCCAAAGGTAAATATTAATATTTAAATGTTTTTCATTTTTATAAAATAGAAACATTAACTAATCTTTTTTTAATGTTATTCACATAGGTCTTTGGTTTCAGCGGTGGTGGTAGTTCAATTGGTCACACTGAATAAATTAAAATACAAAATAACTTTAGTTATAATTATTACAACAATGTAATAACATCAAAATTCAAAACAAAATAAATAAAGAAATAAAGTGAATGTATATTAAAAAAAAAAAAAAAAAAAATAGTAATAATACAATTGAAATACAAAATTTATTTTTATTTACAAGATTAAATAAAACCAATTATGTTATGATAAGAGGAAATCTTTTATTGTTTTATTTTTATAAGAAATTTTTAATTAATTTATAATAATTAACAAGTTTTAAGGCTAGGGTTTTCATTCAGCAACTGTACTTTTACCTTGTGGTTGAACTTCAAATTTATTTTCAGGTTCTTTTTTATGAATGGTAAATTGATATTGGCCTTTATTTGCTTTATCTTCACAAAGGTAAATTAAAGTGTCTTTATAATTTTCATTTCCATTAACCGATACAGACCAGGCCATCAAATGTTTATTTAAAATATTGGGAACATCACCTTCAATTTTTTTAAAATGAATAACTCTTTCTTTGTCATCTTCCTTATGTGATGCAAGTCCTTTAAATTCTAGTTCACTTTTAGCAAATCCAACTTTAACTAATGTAGACTCCATATTTATTATTATTTATTTAATTATTATAATATTATCAGTATTATATTATATTATTTTTAAAAACAAAAAAAAAAAAAAAGTAATGTTTTAAAAAATAAAGTTTTAAAAAAAATTAATTTTTTAAAAAATTAATTTTTTTTTTTGTGGTATATAATAAAAGATTAAATTTAAATATTTCTTATAATTAAAAAATTTTTGGATAAATTTATTTAATTAAAGTCGTTAAAATTATAATTTAAACTAAAAGAGAATTTTGGGTTATTATAATATAATCTGTGATGTTTATCTTGATTGAGGAATGAGGGAGTTTGGACTAAACAATAAGATAAATCGATAAGATGAGATATTTGAACGTTTAACTCTTGATTGGAATCGATTAAATCTAAACTTGATTTCCATTTCCAACTGGTAGCAGTTTGAAGGGTACTTGTGGAGAGTGGTGGTGGTTGAGCGACATTACCATTTGAATCATAAGCAGATTTATACCAATGAATAAAATTATTAACACCACTTGTATAAACATCCCAAGGATATTGTTGATGGTAAACCCAGGATGTAACACTAGTGTAAGGATCAGTCATTTCATTTACACCATAATCATTGATATTATTTGAGACAGTGTGAGATGAGGACCAAGTATCAGAGAAAGAAATACCACCACCTGGACCATCTGGTGTAACATCAAAACTAACACCAATAGACATTTCGGTGGATACAGTGGATTCTACGGTATGGGTTTGATCAACAGTTTGAGGAGACGAAGAAAGAACTGAAAATGTTCTATAGTTTGGGACATTACTATCAATGGTTGGAGTATTTGAAATGGCAAAGCTTGTAGTAAAACTACCTAATGCATTATGAGGATCATTAATACCGAGCTTTGATGGGAATATATAGCCTGTTTGATAGAATAATGAGTAGATGCATTTATTTGGTATATCTTTATAGAGATAGACCTGATTAGTAACAGAGAAACTAATACTTTGTTTTGAAACTTTACTGCTCATTAATGGACTGATATTTGCATCAAATGATTTGGCCATTGTGGTTTCAAAATATTTGAATGGAATTGATGCATTCTTTGGTGGTGTTAATGGAGCAGATGGTCCATCATCGCCTTCAGAACCAGTGCCTCTTAAATTGTTAACCATTAGATCTACTATGGACTCTAAAGACTCGAGATTATCGGCATAAGAAGGAGTAAAAGATGAGTAATCTCCAAAAGTATCATTGAAAGTGGTAATAGTGGAATCTGATTCATTTAACCAATGAAAAGTTGAATGATATTCAACATCATCTTTAGAAGACTTTGGAATATAAGCTAAAATATTACTGTGGCCATCAATACAGACATTATCCAATAATGCACAAAAATTTTCTTTTTCTTTATTATTAACATTTCTAATATTATTAAAAAATTTGGTGTTAATATTTAAAACTATAAAAAAGGATTAATTAAGAAGTAATGATACATACACTAGTACTATTGGGTTTCTTTTAGCAACATGATGTTTAACAAGATTTAAATTATTCAATAATTCTGTACTTCCAATTAAAATTCTATTATCGGTAGATTGATTGGTTGGATCGCTGTCATTGTGAACAACTACATTATGATTATTTAATTTTAAACAATTTATTAATGATCCATAAGGATTGTTATTACTTAAATGATCTAAATAATATGAATGGAATGAAAGAGATGCTGGTGAAACATTATTTCCCTTATCTCTTAAAGAGTGGCCTTCATTATACTTTATTGCTAAACTATAATTTATAAAAAGTATTGAAACAATTAATATTACTATATACCTATACATCTTTGAATTAACTGTAAAGATTGTTATATTTACATTTAAAAAAAAAAAAACCAATTGGTTTAAATACAAAATAAAAAATAAAAAAAAAATAAAAATTGAAAACTCAAAATTTTTAAAAAATGTAAATATATATTTATTTGATTTTCTTATTTTAAATTAAAAATACATTTTTTAAAAAAAAAAAAAAGATATAAACAACAAATATATATCTTTTGGTGTTTGAAATTAAAAAAAAAAAAAAAAAATTTAATTTTATTTATTTTTTTTTTTATTTCATTTTTTTTTTATTTTTTTTAATTTTTTTAATTTTTTATTTTTTTAATTTTTTTTATTTTCATTTTTTTATTTTTAATTTTTTTATTTATTTATTTTTAATTTATATATTTGTAATTGGATTAAAACTATGAGTACTCGTAAAGTTTCATATTTTTACGAAAGTAAGTATTAAACATATTTAAAAAATAAAGTTATAAAATTATTAATTTTAATTTCTTATTTCAATCTTTTTAGATGAAGTTGGTAACCATTACTATGGCCCAAACCATCCAATGAAACCACATCGTATGAGAATGACCCATGATTTAGTTTTAAATTATGGTATATATAAGAAAATGTCAATTTTTGTAAGTATAAAAAATATGATTTATCTTTTATTTTAGGTCTCATATTAATTCCGAATTTTATAACACACATTTTAGAGACCAAGAAAAGCATCGGATTTAGAACTTACAAATTTTCATTCAGATGACTATATTAATTTCTTAAAATTAGTAACACCTGACAATATGCACGATTATTCAAAACAATTAATCAAATGTAATTTTTATATAAAAAAAAAAAAAAAAAAAAATTAAAAAAAAAAAAAAAATCTAATCTTTTTTCTTCTTAACTATAGTTAATGTTAGAGAAGATTGTCCAGTTTTTGATGGAATGTATAATTTTTGTCAAATTTCATCAGGTGGTTCAATTGGATGTGCAGTTAAAATTAATTCAAAAGAATCTGATGTTGCTATCAATTGGGCTGGTGGTTTACATCATGCTAAAAAATCTGAAGCATCTGGTTTCTGTTATACAAATGATATTGTTTTATCAATTTTAGAATTATTAAAGTATGTATATTATGGATTCTTTTATTTTTTTTTTTTTTTTTTTTTCAATTTTATATTAATTACTTTTATTATTTTAGACATCACGAAAGAGTTTTATATATCGATATTGATATTCATCACGGTGATGGTGTAGAGGAAGCATTTTATACAACTGATAGAGTTATGACTGTGTCATTTCACAAGTATGGAGATTATTTCCCAGGTACAGGTGATGTTAAAGATATTGGTGCAGATAAAGGCAAATATTATTCATTAAATTTCCCATTAAAAGACGGTATCGATGACGAATCATATCAAAGTATTTTTAGACCAATCATTCAATCAGTTATGGATTTCTATAGACCAGGTGCAGTAGTTATTCAATGTGGAGCAGATTCACTTACTGGTGACAGACTTGGTTGTTTTAATCTTACATTAAGAGGTCACGCACAATGTGTTGAATTCCTCAAATCATTCAATGTTCCATTAGTAGTGTTGGGCGGTGGTGGCTATACTATCAAGAATGTTGCACGTTGTTGGACCTACGAAACATCAATTTTAGTTGATTCTGACCTTCAAGATGAATTGCCATACAATGACTATCTTGAATATTACGGCCCAGAATACAGACTCCACATCACTCCAAACAATATGGAAAATCACAACACCAAACAGTATTTAGAGAAATTAAAAATTCAACTTTTAGAAAACTTAAGAAATTTACAACATGCACCAGGTGTTGCCCATCACGATATTCCTCCTGATGCTTATAATTATTCTGATGATGAAGATGACGAAGACCCAGATATTAGAGTCTCTGAAGCTGATCGTGATAAACGTATAGCTCATGCCGGCGAGCTATCAGATTCTGACGACGAAGATGGCAGAAGAAATGAAATGAATCATGGTTTAGAAGCATCAATTCCACAAAGAAGAAATCAAGTTCCAATTACAGCATATGATAAGGAAAGACCATCATATAATAATAGAAATCACCATAATGTAGACGATGATGTAGATGTTGAAATGGATTCAGGTTAAAGTAACAGTAAAAAATAATTTTTTATCATGTTTATATCCAAAAAAAAAATCACTTTAAAAAAAAATTAAAATAAATTTGTAAATTTTATTAAACCAAAATCAAAAAGTAAAAAGGTACTTTACATACATTTAATGTATTTTTTTTTTTATTTATTTATTTATTTATTTATCTCAAAATTCATTTTTTGATGATTATAAAAAAAAAATTAAAAAAAAAATTGAAAATTATAAAAATTTGGATCATTCATAAAAAAATAAAAAACTTCAATCATTTTTTACCCAACTCTTTTAATATAATGAAAAAAACAAGTGTATCTAAAAATAAAAATAGTAAAAATGATGATGAACAAACATCGAAATCAGTAAAAACAAAAACCTCCAACAATCTAAAGACCAACTTAAAGCTATCATTTATTTATAGTATGATTGGTGGTGTTTTTGCATCATTTTCTTCAGTTTGTGGTAAAATTGCTTTAGATTCAACATTCCTCACACAATATGTTTCAAGTGATCAAATAGATTTAATTGCTAGAGTTATTGGGTTTGCTAGTATTTTTATTTGTACCACTATGCAATGGAGATATGCAGCCAAAGGTATGGATTTAGCAAGTTCAACTGTAACCTCCACTGTTATTACAACCTCAAGTAATTTCTTTTTTACAGTATGTATAATATTCATTTATAAAAAAATAAAAAATAGAAAGAAATGAATGCACATTAACAAAACTCTTTTTTAAATTTAGGCATTTTTTGGATGGTTATTCTTCAAAGAAAACCTATCATTAAAATGGTGGTTAGGAGCTTCATTAATTATGATGGGTTTATTTTTTATGAATTCTGATGACATTAATGAACAAAAAGAGAAACCAAAAAATAAAAAAAACTAAAAACTAAATTAATAAAATATTTGTATATAATTATAAAACAAAACGATTGTATAGTTTTTATGTTTTTTTTTTATTTTTAAAAAAAAAATTAAATAGTATTTATTTAAATTATTTTAGGTTATTATTATTTATTTATTATTATTATTATTATAAAATTTAATTATTTAATAATGAATAGTTTTTTTAATTGATTCGAAATTTTTAAGATGATCTGGGAGATAGAATTTTTCAAAGATTAATGGGAATGGAGTATCGTAACCACAAACTCTTTGGATTGGAGCTTCTAAATGAAGGAAACAACGTTCTTGAATAGTAGCAGAGATTTCAGCTGCCCAACCACCAGTCTTTGGTGCTTCGTGACTGATAACAACTCTACCAGTTTTTTTAACACTATTGATAACAGTTTCAACATCCCATGGTTGAATAGTACGTAAATCGATTAATTCGACTGAAATACCTAATTTTTCTTCGGCCATATTGGCAGCTTGGAGTAATACTCTCATTTGAGCACCCCAACCAATAAGTGTAATATCTTTACCTTCTTTAACAATACGTGCTTTACCTAATGGAATTTCATAATCTCCAACTGGAACTTCTTCAACTGCTGATCTGTACATTAATTTTGGTTCGAAAAAGATAACTGGGTCTTTTTCACGAATTGATGCTAATAATAAACCTTTAGCTTCGATTGGTGTACTTGGAATAACAACCTTTAAACCTGGTGTTTGTCCAAAATATGACTCTGGTGATTGTGAGTGATAATGACCACCATGACCAACAGCACCATATGGTGATCTAATAGTTAATGATCCACAATCAAATTGACCACCACTTCTATATCTATATTTTGCTGCTTCATTAACAATCTAAATAAAAAAATTTTTATTAGTTTTCATTATTATTGATAATTATTATTATAATTATTGTTATTGTTATTGTTATTGATATTGATATTGATATTGTTATTGTTATTTTATTACGATTCTAAATTATTTATCCTATTGTAATTTTATTATCTATATTATTATAATCTATATTAAATATATACTTGATCAAAAGCTGGGAAAATATCTATATAAAAAGGTAATTATATTAATATTTTAATTTGAAACCACAAAATATTAGATTTGTTGCTCTATACTGTTACTTACAATCGGCAAATTGAATTTCAGCAATTGGGGTAGCACCTTGAGCAGCTAAACCAATACCAAAACCTGCAATACCTTGTTCGCAAAGTGGTGTATTAAAAACTCTATTTGCACCATATTTTTCTCTTAAACCAACTGTACAACGAAATACACCACCAAAACCAACATCTTCACCAAAAATGACAGCTTTTGGATCTTTTTGTAAAGCAATATCCATTGCATTATTGAGTGCTTGGAAAAGATTCATTTTTTGTTTTTCACCTCCATTTTCGATTTCTAATGATGGATAGTTAATTGGTGCTGATGGTCCACCTGCTAAATTTGCGCTTGTTGAGTGGAATGATCTTTTCTAAAAGATTTTAAATTTAAAAAATATTATTGTTAATAAACCATCTAAAAATTTTTTTTGATAGATTTTAATTGATTGTTTTGACTGTTTTGATTGATTTATTAGAAAAATTTAAAAAAAAAAAATCACTACATATAAAAAAAAACGAACGACAAACCATTTTTTCCACACAAAAAAAAAAAATTATAAAAAAACTAAACAGTGTTTCTTTAATATTTACAAGTAAATTAATGTTTTTATTTGTGCTTCCTCTGATCATATTGTTATACTATTCCAAATTACCTAATTCTAAATGATAATTTAGTGTAGAAAAAAAAAGAAATTTAAAAATTTTAATTTTTAAAAAAAAAAAAAAAAAAAAAAAAAAAAATATGAAAAAAAGAAAAAAATAATTTTAAAAAAAAAAATAATTTTAAAAAAAAAAAATAAAAAAAAAAAGAAAAATAATTAAAAAAAAATAAATAAAAAAAACAAATAATGAAATGATTACAAATAATGCCAAATCTTTTATTTCTCTTTTTTATCTATAATTTTAATACTATAATTTAATATATGTTATTCTTATTAATTAAATTATTTTTTTAAATTCTTGAAGATATTTAAAAAAACAAAAAAAAAAAATAAAAAAAAATAAAAAAAAACAAAAAAAAAATAAATCAAAGTTTATCTATATTTTTAATATTAGATTCTTTAAAAAAAATTAATATAGAAAAATAAATGTTTTATGATCTTTAAAAAAATTTATCTAAAAATTGATGGTTTATTAGTTTAGACAATAAAAACTAAAAGAACGAAAAAAAGTTTTTTTTTTTTAATTTCGATTATTGTTACATATTTGCAATTAACACAATTTTTATTATATTTTTTTTTTAAAGCCCATAATTATGGCCCATACCAAATTGATCATGACCATGACCATGTCCGTGATCGTGACCGTGGCTGTGACCATGACCATGACCATGATCGTGACTATGACCGTGATCGTGACCATGAGAATGACCATGCGAATGATCATGACCGTGACCGTGACCATGACCATGATCATGATTATGTTGTTGCTTTGGTTTTTCTTTAACTTCTCTTAATTTTGGATCCATTGTATCCATAATATCTGCAACTTGAGTTAAAATTGTGATGGGTGTATCTTCAAAGAATATTGATTTGGTGTTTGTTGAATCTATATGTTTAATTGAGGTCGATAATTTATTTTGAATTAATTTTGAGTGATAACTTGGAATATAATCAGTTGTAATAATAAGATGAATTGGAATATCTCTAGTTTTAAGTTTTGAATTATAAATATTAAATGCTGTTTTAAAACTTTTATCGGTTTCTTTATAAGAATTTATGAAACTATTAATGTTATCTTTAAATCTAAGACTATAAAAATAACTGTCAATATCTGGTTGGGTAGTATTTGTTAATTTATCTATATAAATAAAAAATGTGGTTAATATTTCTTTTTTTTTTTCTTTTTTTGCAACAATAAAATTTTAGACTTACAGTAGTGTGAATAATATTTATATCTTAATGTTGAAAGATATGGTGATGAGATAAATTTCAAATATAATTGATTAACTACTGGGGTGTCAATAATTTTGTAATAGAATGGGAGATGGGACATATCGATAATTGGGTCGACATATGTTATTGATTTAACTCTATTTGAATGCTTTAAATAAAAGAGTGAACCAATAATTGCACCAGTATCATATAGTACCAAATGAACACCTTTACGAATTTGAAGACTATCTAAAATATCATCGATACGTTCACTAATCTCTACATAGCTGCAATTCTTTAATGGGTCAGAGAAACCAAAGCATGGTAAATCGATGGCAATTGGATGAATATTTGCCTCTTGAAAATAAAACATTGACTTTCTATATGAAAAACTTGTTGTAGTGTGTCCATGGATTAGTAATGCTACTTCACAATCAGCTGGATTTGTTTTCGATTCGCTGTAACCATATTCGAATGGTTCATTTGTATTTTCTTGTTCGAGTTCAAAGTTGATACCATTTTGAACAAGGAACACATTGAATGTTTCACCATTTGATTTGTCAAATACTGGTACTGTAATTCCTGACTGATAGTGTTTTAATAGTGGTGCTGGCATTTCTTTAATATAAAATGATGAATCTTGACTAACACCATTATTATTTGATAAACTCCAAAATAAAAATGTTATAACTGTCATTACAATCATACCAAAAAATCTAATACATAATGCATTTTGTGGTAACTCATCTAATTGTTTATGCTTTGACTTTTTAATTTTATTCTTTTTAATTGATTTATCCTTTTCATTTTTTTCTTTGTGTTCATTGCTTTCATCCTTTTTTTCTTTAACACTACCTGTTGCTATATTTTCCTTTTCTTCTTTTTCTTCTTTTTTTTCTTTTTCTTTTTCTTCTTTATTTAAGTTTCTTTTTTTTACTTCTGTCATTTTAAATAAAGAATTATTTATTATTTATTAATATAAAAAAGAAAAAAAAATAAATAAAAAAAAAAAATTCAGACGCAACATCACCCAAAAAAAAAAAAAAAAAAAAAAAAAAATTTTTAAAAAAAATAAATTAATTTTTAATAAAAAGAAATAGTGATTTATTTGTTCATTTTATTTATTTATTATAAAAAACATTTAGTTTGAAAATAATTTATAGTAACTAAAAAAACTATTTTATTTAAAGAAATAATAAACTTTTAAAATATTTTAATTTGTGTGTTTATCACAAAAAAATGATAATTTATTTTTTTTATTTTTAAAAAAAAATATTTAATTTTTATTTAATTTTTTATTTTTTTTTAAAATTTTTTTTTAAAATTTTTAAATAACGTCGATAACATTTCAGAAAGTTTGTTTTTTTTTATTTATAGTTTTCTCTTTATATATATATATATATTTATATAAAAACTAGTAATTATAACAATATATCTATATTTAAATAATTCAAGTATAAGAAAAAATAAAAAAAAATTTTTAATTTTACAGAGTGAAATTTTTAAAAATTAAATTTTCATAAAATGAAAAATCCCTTCAAAAATTTTAAAATTAGTGAATACTATCCAATCAAATATGATAAAAAGTTAAACAAATATAAAGTATTTGGTACCTCACCAATACATTGTGGTATGTATTAATAAAATTTACAAATATTAAAATCATCATCATCACTAACCATACACCTATCTAATATTTATTTAATTTCTACAGGAAGAATGGTTTTAGTTATTTTATCATTATGGGCATTTTTTATAGGTTTATTCTTAGTACTTTTATATGGATTTGGTAGAGATTTAGGTGTTGAAACTATTTAAATACTCGAATAGTAAATTTAGATCATCAAATAATCAAATAATCAAATAATTAAATAATCTAAAATATCAATATATAAAAAAAAAAATCATAAGCAATATTCTTTTTCTGTATATATAAATAAAACAAAATATCTTTGGGGTATTATTTTTTTTTTTTTTTTTTATAAATAATATTTTTATTTTATTTCTTTTTTTTTTTATTTTTATTTTATTTTATTTAGTTTTTAAATAACAATTTATTATTAGTTTTATTTTAAATAATTATTTTATTTATATTATATTTTTATATTTATATTATTTTATTATTTTATTTTAATTATAATTTAATTTATATGGATTGAACTATAAATCTTTCTAACTAAAAGATAGCATGAATAGAAACCAATTGCACCAGTTAAGAGAGCAAAAGCTAAAGACATAATGAATGAATAAGAGAAATAAAGTAAAATTGAAATGAATTTGGTAATTGATAAATAACGGAAGAAACTAATCGAATAGATGAAAACATAGAGAGCAGAACTACCACTAGTTAAATAAGATCTCCACCACCAATGATAATCCTCAGCGCATAATTGGAAGTAACACATAACAATAGAAATTTCGGCAGAGGTTACGATTAAAATAAGTAAAACAATGAAGAGGAAACCGAAAATATAATAGAATTGATTATCCCAGAGTGAGGTTAAAATGAAATGAAGTTCGATAAATACAGCACCAAATGGTAAAATACCACCCAATAAAATTGATAAATATGGATTCATATACCAAATTTGATCTGGAACTTGACGTGGGATTTGATTGGTACGAACTGGATCTTCTGGAACTGGTTTCTTTTTGGCGAAATAACTACCAGCGAAAACTAATGGAACTGAAATACCAAACCATAATGCAATAATTTTTACAAATGTAACAAATGGTACTGCAGCTGATGATTTAGCGCCTCTAAGGAACATATTGACAATGAAGAAGATACCAAAAACAATACCTGGGAAAGTAAAGGCAGTGTAGATGGTATTCTTTTTCCAATTTCTACCTTTAAAGATTGAGAATACACGAGTTGAGAAATAACCAGCACAAACAGCCATAAAAATGAATAAAACAATGAGTGCTTCAGCGAGACCACCAATATTTGCTGGTGAAAGGAAACCTAAAACTGCAAAGATCATGGTGATAACGGTCATTGCGAAAACTTGAACACCACTACCAATACAAATTGATAATAACATTGGATGACTTGGTGGTCTAAATACATCACCATGGATCATCTTCCAACCGGTTTCTTCTTGAGAGTCACGATCTTCTGGATCGAATGATGATGAACTATAACGACGAATATCAGCTTTGACGGTTCTGGTGATAATCATAGCTACCATGAATGATAAAATGAGGACGATCATTAAAGAGTTTGAAATTGAGAACCAATGAACAGAGTTATCGTTGGTTTCGAAATAAATATCCCAACGTTTATTCCATAAAACTGGTGATTCCTTAAAGTTGACTGTATAGGTCCAAAGAACAAATTTTTCTTTTTCACCATCTTCAGTTTCTACTGATAATGCCTTGTAGTCTTCGGTAGTTTCTGGGCATTCATCATTATTTTCTTCCCTATCTTTTATTTTATTCCATCTTTCTTCGCTGTATTGGATTGATTTGGTTTCGGCAAGGAAACCAACGATTCTGTAGGTATTGTCAGTTGGATTCTTATGGTATTCAATAGTGATGATAACATGGTTGTTAAGATTCTTTTTACCAGCTTGATCAGTATAACCTAAATCGAAACCTGGATCTGATGCTTGTCTGGTAGCTAAACGAACTGGTAAACCATCTAAAAGCCAATGAACCCTATATGAATTCTTGATTCTATCTTGTAAAACCTTTAAATCTTTTTCGCCTACATGTGGGTCACATTTTCCTTCTGATCTTAATACTCTACATTTACTTTCCTCATTTGTTGTGTTAAATTCAAACTAAAAAATAATAAAACATTAATATTAAATTACTATTATAGTAGTTTTAGTTTTTATGTGTATAATAGATATTTACTTTGTAAAGTGAGTTTTCGATACGGTCACCTAATAAAATCTCACCTAAATTTTCTTCGTCATCTTTAATTTCTTTTGGTTGACAAACACCTGGAATTTGATAATATTTATAAGGAATTTGTGTATGAACTGATGTGATTTTATTAACTTTAATTGATACTTCGTCCCCAACTGCAAAATCTTGAGGGAACATACCGGGTAAATAAAAAATAGCATTAACGCTATTTAATAAAACATTTAATAAAATAAATGAAATTAAAATTTGATTTAACTTCATTTTATTCTATATATATATTTTTTATATTATGTATGATTTCTTTTTTTTTTTCTTTAAAATGTATTAATTTAATGAAATAAAAACAATAACAAAAAAAAAAAAAATGTATTGTGTATTTATTTTATTAATAATTTAAAATGGGGGGAAAAATTATAAATAAATTTATGAATGATATATATAAAGAATTGGTATATATCTATAAACACAAACAATAAAACTGATAATAAGAAAAAAAAAAAAAAAAAAGTTTAAAACGATTTATTGAAGATTTTTCTATTTAAATTTCTTTTTTAAATATAAATACAACAAAATTAAAATAAAAAAAAAATTTTAAAAAAAAAAAATAAAAAAAATTTTTAAAATAAAAAAAAATTAAAAAAAATTAAAAAAAAAATAAATATTTTTTCAAAAATTTAAAAAAATAAATAAATAAATAGTGCAGGTGTCCACCTCAAATAAGTTAACCATGCATCATTTAAATATTTTTTATTATAAAAATTATTTTTGATAATAATAAGTTTAAATATAATACATACTTATATTTATTGATTGTTTTATTAATTTTATAATAATTAAAAATAAAATTTTTTTTTAAAAATATTTTCCTTTTTTAGTCAAAAAAAAAAAAAAATTATTTATTGTGGTAAATCTGGGAATCTTTCTTTTCGATTGCTTTATGAAGTGATTCTAAAATTGGGGTTAAAAGTGAGGCTTGATTGATTTTATTTTGACTTATGAGTTGTTTTTTCTTTTCTTCGATTTTATCATATTGTTTACTGATTGCGATTGACATTTTATTATTTTTATCAAGTTGTTGTGGGGTTGGTGGGGCTCCTCTACCCAATGTATAGGTTGTCGACCAAAAATGTCTTAAAAGTTCGTTACTTTGTTGAAAGGATGCAAATAAATCTTTTTTAAAATTTGATTCTGGTAATTGATATTCATCATTCCCTTTGGAAGCATTGGTAGCTTTGTTATATGGTTCATAAACCTCTGGATGAATTGAATAATTCATTAAAATGGTTTGAATATCATTTGGTTGGTGGTTTTGTTGTTGTTGTTTTATTTGGATTTGAATATCTCTGTTAAAGTTATCAAGCGTATCAAATACTTCGCCGAGATCAGGTTGATTCCATCTGGTATATTCATAGTTGAAATCATCGATTAACATTCTTTTCTCTTCGTCAGTTAGTTTATTTGCAGATGAATGCCCTTCGAAATAACGTTTTTGATCCAAAATTTTCAATGGTGTTGGTGCTGATCTATTTTCTTGTTCTAAATCATTGATCACAATATGCTGATTAACTTGTTTTTTATGATTTTCTAAAATTTTTTCCATCTGTTCTGTTGTTACATTTTCTTCATCGTCACCATTGTATAGAGTGTTTATAGGTGGTGATGTTGATTCTAAATCCATTTCTTTTTGTTTTTTTTGTGCTTGGGTTATTTTGTCTTTACTGCTGCTTGATGAGCTTAATAAATCTTTTGAACCTAAAACCAATGCACTGTGTCTATTGAATCTACGTAGTAATGGTAAAGCTTTTTCTAACCTATATGGATCTTGGCTTTGATCTAAAAGAACACCATAACCACTGTGAATATCAGCATCGGCATTATCAGATGAGGAAAGATCTACTAATGGACTGATGTCAATGAGTTTTCTTTTAAGGATACGAAGTTTATTGAATTCATCAGTTTCATATTTTGAAAATAAATCATCATCGATAGGTGGCGCATTGGTACGGTCTCTATGGAAATACTTTGATTGAACATATTTTCTCCAAAATGCTTGCTCTGATATTTTTAATGGTACATTTTCTTTATATGCTTTCTCTACTGATGGATGTTGAATGAAAATTTGATGAATTACAGTTGGAGTGAATTTATATTTAATTGTATTTGCAGTCTCAGTGGATGGTCTAACATCAGCAATAAAATTACTTGGCATACCTGTATTTTGACGCTCTGAACGTGTGGAGTCGGTTTTTAATAGAGTTTTACGTGATTCCCAAAAATCAGATTCTGTAATTACTTTATCTTGCACTACCAACTGTTCATAGAGCTGCTTTAATTCTTTATTGCTCATCAATAATTGTACTCTTTGTTTAATTTGTTGTTCTGAAATGGATGGATTTTTTAATTGTGATAAATATTGGTATTCAGGTTTGTCACTATTTGGATCTTCATCTTTTCCTGTTGCTGTACCTGATTTGCCTTCTAATTTTGGTGATGCTCCAGTTGGTGATGTTGAATTGGGTGATGTTGAATTTGAAGATTGGCCAGATGCCGTTGCTGATGGATCTTTCGGTTGCGCTGTTGCTGGAGTCGCATTTGCAGCCGATAAATCTGCAGTTTGCGCTATTTTATCACGAAAACTATTTAAATCTGTTCTTGCATTGGTTGGATGTATAAATTCGAATACAAAATCTTGAAGAGCATTCTTTATACTATCACGAACGGATAAACGTAATAATGCTTTTGCACTTTTGATTGTACTAATAAACTGACTCTTAATTTCTGAAATTTTTAAATGTAAACTTGGTTCGCTGTATCCATGTTGTACCCATACCAATCTAATATTTGTAAAAAATAATGTTCCTTGTTGTTGAGAGTGTTTCGTTAAAGCTCTTAATAAAACAAGTTCACCTGGTTCTTTACTAAATCTACTCATTTAATTTATTTATTATTTTATTTATTATTTTATTTATTGATTAATTTAATTATTTATTTAATTTTTTTAAAAATATATGTACGTTGATTAAATAAATGACAAAAAATGAAAAAAAAAAATAAAAGAAAATTTAAAAAAAATTTTTAAAAATTTTTAAAAAATTATAATTTTTTTTTTTTGAATTTAATTTTTAATTCCCATTTTAAATTTAAACTCAAATTAATTTAAATTTTAAGAAATCAATCTCCCTTTTAAAAAATTTTTTAATAAATTTTTTTTTTTTTTTTTTTTTTTTAAAGAAAAAAAATTAGTTATTATAATAATTTATTTACAAAATAAATTATTTCAAATATTTCAAATAATTAGTTTTTTATAATAAGCCTCTTTTATTTAAATGTTTGTTTCAAATTAAATAAATTGGGTAGTTTATCAAAAAAAAAAAAAATGTAAATTGGAATCAAAAAACTAAAGTTTTTTTTGATTTTTTATTATTTTGTTTTAATCATAAAAAAAAATAAAATGAATCCATTGTTCACAAAACCAACATACAAATATTTTGAAAAACTTTTTTATTGGTTTATTATATTTTACCAATAATTTTTCAATTCTAAAAAACTGTATATATGTAAAATGTATTGTTTAGTAACATATATATTACATGTGGGTATTTTCAAAGGCTCACAGAAATCGTTTTAAAAATACATCAAAATCAAAATAAAAAATAAAAAAAAATAATTTGTAAATCTGGAAAAAATTTTTTTTTTTTTTTTTCAAAATTTTAATAAACCAACTATATTGTTGATTTTTTCAAATTTTGAGTACTATATATTTTTGTATATATCTTTTCTCAAAAATTTAATAGATTTTGTTATTATAAAATAAAAAAAAAGTTTTCCAGATTTACAAATTGTTTTTTTCATTGTGAGTAGTTTTAAAAATTTATTATTATTTTTATTATTATTTTATTATGATTATTATTATTATTATTGAAAAAAAAAAATCACAATTTTAAAAAGATTATTTATTTCTTCTCTTGCAAAATTAAAAATAAATATTTTAAAAAAAAAAAAAAAATTAAAACAAAAAGGTATTATACACAAACGAATTTTAAAGAATTTTTGATTCAATTATATGAGCAAAACTATATGGTTTCCATATATTGACCATTCAAAGTATTTGCCATTATCTTTAAAATAAAAAAATATGTTTGCACATGCAACAAATTGTTTTTTATATGTCTACATCAATAAAAAGAACAACTCAACAATAAATTAATCTTTATTGTGAATAAATAGATGAAATCACTTTTTATCTCCAATAACAAAAAACACAACAAAACACTAGTTCTCTTTTTCTTTTTATTATTTTTTTTTTTTTTTTATTGTTATTATAAATATGATGATGATGGCACATTTTATTTTCAATAAAATAAAATAAAAAAAATAATAACAATAACAATTATTTTATATTGTATATAATAATAATAATAATAATAATAATAATAATAATAATAATAATAATAATAATAATAATAATAAAAATAATAATAATAATAATAATAAAAATAAAAATAATAAAAGTAAAGTAAAAAAAAAAAAAAATCACCCTAAAAATAATAGTTTAGAAACTATATTGTTGGTTTTTAAAATAATAAAAAAAGAGTGTACTAAAATAAAAGTTTATACAGTATGAGCTTGGTTAATAGAGAAAAACAATAAAGATTGTATAAACTGAAATTTTATCCTTGAAAATAATCTACAAAAACTGTTTTTTCAATATTTTTTAGTTTATATATAGATCCAGAATAAAAAAACATCATATTAATTAGTATGAGAAAAAAATAAAAAAGAAATAGAGAGAAAATAACAATAGTTATTATTTCAATCGTTTTTTTTATATAATCATTTTTATTACTTTAATTTTTTGTTTTGTTTTTGTTTAAAAATTTAATTTTCTGTTTGATCATTAATGAGAACAAAAAAAAAAAAAATAAAAAATAGTAATTTATAACATAGTGCTTCCTTGCTAAAACATAAAAAGAAAGAAAAATTTTATTTTATTTAGTGAGTGAGGGTTAGCGAGAGAGTGTGTGTATGTGGACAAGCACACACACACACATTCACAAATACACACATTAAATTTTCTTTATAAAGAAGTTGTTGAATAGGGGAGAGTGGGTTTATGCAAGCATAAAAAATAAAAAATAAAATTTTGATACATCAGGTATATAGTAATGGGGTTCGATTATATCAAAATTCTTTTTTTAAATTCTCACAAATTATGATTATATAAAAACCACTCTCATTAAATAAATTAACTAAAACAAAACATTAAAATGGTTTGTGTCTTTTCAACTAGCGAAAAAATAACAACAAAAATTAATTATCCAATATAAACTGATTAATTTATATTTTTTTTTTTATTTTTATTTTATTTTATTTATTTTTAATTCAAAATTTAATCAATATATTTTAAAATTATAAAAAAAAAAAATAAAAAAAAAAAATTAAATTGATATTTATAAAATCATAAACTATAAAAATAATTTTTTTTTTTTTTTGATTTTTGTAAAATTATAGTTTTTATGAAAAAAAAAAAAATCAAGACATATAGGGGGGGTTTTTGGGTATATTATTTTTTTTTTTTTTTTTTTTTTTAAATAAAAGCAACATTTCAGAAAAATTATTTATTTAGAAATTAATAGCTTTTCAAAAAAATTTTCAAAAAATTAAAATTTTCAAAATTTACAAATAAGATATAAATCTTTGGAAAAAAAAAAACTAACTAAAAAAAAAAAAAAAAAAATGTAAGATCGAAAAACTAACAACGAATATTTTTTAGTAATGTGTGGTAGATTTTTCCATTATAAATTATTTTTTTCTAATCACAATCATAATCACCTTATTACCCCACATAGTATTAATAAAAATAATAATAGAATTAGAAATTAAAATAAAAAAAACTAGTTCTTCACATAAACTTTAGATAATAATATATTTTTTCAAAATTATATTAATTAAAATTTAGTTTTGTATCTTTTCTTTAAAAACCAATATTTTATAAAAAACAATATCCACATATCTACACTGCCAACTAGTTTTTTTTTATTATTTTAATTTATTATAAAAAATAGAATTAAATTAGAATTTAATTAAATATTAAATAATATTTAAATTAAAAAAAAATAAAAAATAAAAAAAATAAAATAAAAAACCCACTAACTGAAATCTAAAATTATCTCAAATTGAAAACAATTACCCCCTACCACCAACACCACAACCAATAACAACAATAAAAACAGTAACAACAACAATAACAATAATTACATTTACCCTTAGTAATAAAAATAATAAAGAATGTGATGATGATGCTGATAATGATGATGCTGATGCGCTGATAGTAATAAAAATAATAAAAATTAAAAAAACATTACAATAAATAATAATTATTATTATTAATAATAAACAAAAATGTTAACATCATCATCAATAACATTTTTTATTAAAAATAACATTAAAAAAAAAATAGCTTTTTTGAATTTTATTATAATCATAAATTTTTTTCCAATGGACTATATATCAATAAAATAGTAGTAAATTAAAAAAAAATAATTAAATACAACCAACACGAAAATTTATTTATGAGAGAAAAAAATATTTCTCATAATTAAGATTAGGTTGTTTTCTCCACTATTAGGAATAATTCGATGTTTTTGATTATTTAAATCAGAAAGAACATTAATATCACTAACATCAACAACACTACTTTTTATTTTAAATCAATAAAAAAGCCAAATTTATTTAAAAAAACTATTTAAACCCAAGTTTTTATTAATAAATCATTTCATTTATTTAATAACAATTAATTCATTAATTCATATATATAATCATACTTATATATAACTTTTGTGTGTTTTTATTTATAGTTTATTTATTATAATAATAAAAAAAATTTTCACACATACCCCCCACGCACACACATCAACCTACTTGCATAACACCACACATATAGTTTTTTTCTTTCACCTGCTTTAATTAGAATTTTTATTTTAATTAAACTATTATTATATTGTGATAATAATAACTTTTGTGATACATTTAATTAATTTAATTTAATTTTAAATTAAAATATTATTTTTTTTTTTTTTCTTTATTATTTAAATAATTATTTTTACTACACACCCACTCAATCATTAATATATTTTTTTTTTTGTTTTTATTTTTTTTATTTTTTTTCAATTATATAAAACCAATCTATTAATAATAAAAATTATATATTTATATATAAAAATTTATTAAAAACAACAACAACAACAAATAATTTTAAATATAATATTAATAATAATGTTTATTTTAAATAATAACAATAGTAGTATAGTTAATAGCTCTCTTTTGAATAAAGCCATAAAATCAAATACAATGGAATCATTAAATATTAGTTGCTCATTACCATCATCCCCAACTTCCCCATCATCTATGGGTGACACATGTTCTATAAAAGGTGCAAATATATTGGTAGTTGAAGATGACCCTTTAAATAGAATTATTGCCTTAAAGTTTTTAAAGAAACTTGGCCACAATGTAACATTAGCTGAAAATGGTTTACATGCCTTCAATTTAGTATCTTGCAATACCTTCGATTTAATTTTAATGGATGTCAACATGCCAGTAATGGACGGTAAAGAATCCACAAAGAAAATAAGAGAATATGAATCAAGAGTAGGTAAAAGAACTCCAATTATTGGACTTACTACAATGCCAAAGGATGAATGTATCGAAGCCGGTATGGACGACCATCTATTTAAACCAGCCAAATTTAATTTACTTGATGAAAAAGTTACCTACTATTTAAAGAACCAAGCATATAATCAATCCATTTCTGCACCAGAAAAACAAGAGCCATCTTCAGAACCATCATCACCAACTGTAACCATCAAATCAGACATTCAAATCGTTTCAATCAACAATAGAAATAAGTATATAAGTTCACCAGACCTTTTAGTTTATTTCAAAAATATTTCAAATATTAATACAAATGTAAATAGTTTAAGTAGTTCCTGTAATAATATTTGTACAATTAAAGAAATAAATGAAGAAAATATCGAGTATTTAAATCAATGTAATATTAATAATAATAATTTAACAAATATAAAAAACTGTAATAGTAATCAATGTAATAATAATAATAATAATAATAATAATGAAAATATAAATTGTATATTTAATAACACCTCAAATAATAATATTTATTTTGTAAATACCGATCTTCCATTTTTAAACAATAATAACAATGTTTTAAGTAATATTAACAACATTAAGAACCTGTCTAAATCAATATCACCTACAATATCTCCTCTCACATCAAAAAATGATGAAACAATTAGTATTCAAACCAATACAACCCTTAATAATAGCAATAATAATAATAGCATTCTAAATAGAAGAAGAAAATTTGTTAGCAGATCAACGTCTCAACCATCTTTTTTTTCTAATAAAGAATATACTGTTAAATAATATTTTTAAATATTTAATAATAGTTTTTTGTACATATGCACATTTTAAAAAAAAATTTAAGAAACGACTTTAATTAATTTATTTTTTTTATTATACAATTTTATTTTTTCTTTTGTTTTTATTCGGAACCAGTTTTAATACTTTCTATTTGAGAAAATAAGTTTTGAATCATATCTAACTTTGATTGACAATTGATCTTGTAATCTATAAAAATACAAGTTAAAAAAGCGGTTATTGAGCTCTCTTCTAAATATAAATTATAATCGATATTTGATAAAAATTGAATTTCCATTTTACCAATGTGTTTTGCATCAATTAAAAATCTTTTTTCAATTATATCCAAATTGATTTTGTTTGAGTCTGAAAACATTTTTAATGAAAGTATACAACTATAGGTTATTTATAAATAAAAAGATTAATAATTTTATTATAGAAAATAAATAAAAAAAATAAAAACTAATTACTTACCTTATTAATATTAACCATAAAATTTGAGATTGTCTGATTCCAACCTTTTCGACATATTTATTAGCAAAATATACAGATATAACTAAGAAAACTTCTGATTCCTTTAAATCTTGGGTAATGTAATTTAATACAATTTCTAATATTTCATAAACACCAGCTTCCATATTTTTTGATAAAGACTTTTCTGGTTTTGAAACCCCTCGACAACTTTTTTGATCATCAATTACCCAACTACATATCTTTTTAACAAGTAAATCACTTGTGTTTGGAAAATAGTGATGGAGTGATGGATACTTTTTCTTTAATTGATCATTATTGTTTTGTTTTGGTGTAGAATCACCACAATTATTAATATTTATTTTGGTTTTATTAATTAAAAAATTATTTTTATTATCAGTTTCCATTTTAAAAAATATATTTGCTTTTTTATTTTTATAATAAATATTATAATTTTATTATTACTTTTATTTCTATTATTATTATAAAATTTTATTTAATTTAATCTAAAGATTTTTATTAATATTGAAAAAAAATAAAAACTTTTTTATTATTATTGAGAAAAAAAAAAAAAAAGTTTCTTTATTATATGGGTTTGAATACAAATTATTTACTATTACTACTGATATTAATATTACTAATATTTTTACTATTTTTACTATTGAAAATGATATAAAATTATTATTTATTGTTCTCTTTTTTAAAATTATAAATGAAAAAAAAAAAAATGTTGTAATTTATAATTTTGAGATGCTGTGAATAAAATTTATATTTAAAAAAAAATGTGTTATAAGAGATAATTTAAATCTGAAATACAAAAAAAATGAGTAACCACTCATACTAATAAAAAATACAATCTAAATTTATTTTGAAACTACTATTAACATCGTGTTTTTTTGGTGTCAATAAATTAGAAATAAAATTCTACTACATTTTTAATCATTTAAATTTCTTAAGATATGGTTGAAAAAAAAAAGAGAATAGACACAACAATCGGTGGCCATTTATAACAATAAAAAAACAGCAGGAATAGCTTATTTATAAAGTTTTTCCTAGTATTGAAAAAAAAACCCATAGGTAAAAAAGCAACCCCTTGTGTGGTGTTGGTATTTCTTATTCATGTTTTTTATTTAGCCTATTAAAGCAATATTAAAATGTAATGCTATATATGATTAGTTTTTGATATCAAGATCTGAAACTCATATATAGAGATAATTTAATCTATATAATTGAGCGTGGGGATCAAATTTCTGGACGTCTTAATCAAAGGATATAGTGATAGTGGGTCACAGATATATGATACTATTCT